CTGTCCCTGGTGAAGCCTCTCACCACCCCTGAGCCTCTGGCCTGTACCCCACTTCTGTATGCACAAATAAATAAATAAATCTTTAAAAAAAAAAATAAATAAAAAAAAAATAAACTGTTATAAAAAAAATAGTATCTCTCCTCTCTGACTCAAAGCATTAGAAGGGAGAGTTAAAAGATCATGGCATGGAATGTAGGGCAGGATTGCTGTTTGAGCCCAATGCTCTGATCTTGTTCCTCTTTTTTTAACCTGATGTCTCAACAGGACAGGACCAGCCCTTGAATCACACTCTTGCTTGACACCATCACAATTTCTGATTTCCCTCTGCCCTCCAGCAATGCGTCAGGGGTCTGAGGGTGAGGTCTTCTGCTTATCTGCACTGATTCTTTCCCTGATCTCCCTCCTCCCACACTTGCCATGCCCCATCTCTTCAGAACTCACAGACACCTCAGGCTTAAGGAATGCAAAATGAAATGATTGATCCATCCTCAGACAAAGGGAATCCAAAATGAAATGATTGATCCCTCCCTAACCCACCCCACCCCCGGCAAAACTAATTGTTGCCTCCCAATCTCCAAGGATTGATGCAGGCATTCAAAACTTCACAAACCCGCTGACAGCCACTGAAATTTCAGTTGCTGGAGATTGATCCTGAACTAGACTGCCTCAGTGGCCCAGGCTGTGGGTCTGCACTGTCCGCCCGTAGCCGGTGGGCTGCTGGGGGTTAGAGGAACCTGAGAGGGGCTAGTCCGGGCTGACGTGGGCTGCCTGTGTTCATACACGGTGTCTGTGGCAGAGTTGGTAAAAAAACAATCTTTCTTTTGTCAATTACTTGTTGGATAACATTTTAGCTATATTGGGTTAAGTAAAATGTATTCCTGTTTTATTAAAATACATATCCCTCCTGCGGTCTGGTCATGAAACTCTTGGACCTCGCTTTGCTATGGCTACTGGCCAGTTTAAAATTACCTATGTGGTTTCTACTGCTTTTCTACTGGGCAGCATTATTCTGGCTGCACAGAGTGAACAGACAAATTAGCTCATGGCTTAAGTTGCATTCATTGTAGTAAGTCCCTTGAAGGAAACATGTAGGGGAAAATAAATCTTAAATCAGAACTTTAGGAATCTGCATAGTTTCTTTTTCTCAACTCCACCCTCCTGTCAAATGATTTTTAAGGCCTGTGGACTGGCTTTAAGACACACCTTAAGGTGTCTAGTGCCTGTCCCCTCCTCCACACACCCCACCTCCCTCCCCACCCCCCAAGCAGGCCCTGCCCTGCACAACCTGCAGCTAGTCTGAGACCTGGGGAGAGCACCTGTCACCTGTCATGTCCTTGCTTCCCCTTCCCACCAGCGACTGCAGGGTTTGTCATTTCTCGTGACCCATCCGATGACTTCCAGCGTTTTCTTTCAGGCTCGCCCTGTGCCCCTCCCCTCCACCCACCTGCTGGTCTTCCTACTTATTAATCTCTTGAAAGGCTTTGCCTTTGCTCTTGGGTTTCAGTTTAAAAGTCCGGCTGTCTCAGAGAGGTCATTCTTGACTACTCTATCAAATAGTTCCCTTTAATTAAAAAAACAATGAATCCCTACCCTGTTCTTTGCCTTAGTCCCCTCTTTGTTTAGCCTGTATCTGTTTCTTCATCAGTTTGTCCCTGCACAGCACAGCTCTTGGACACTGATAAGTATTTGTTGACTGACTGAATGAAGGGAAGGGGCACAGTGTTCAAGAACTGATACCTAGTGTTAGAGACGAAAGTCCTCACCAGCCATAGCCCTGGAGATGGTTTAGTCTTAACCATTTTGCCAGGAGTTGCCGAGAGTCATCCACTTTTGGAGAAAAGCAAGTAGCTGTTGCACAAAAGTTCATTTCCTCATTGTTTAACTGATTTCACAATGTGAATATATAATATTAACTAAGTACCAAGGACTGTTTTTTTAAATAAAGACCAGACACACAATGATACCATAATAAAGTCTGGTAAAAGGCAAACTTATTTGTGGGGGTTTCCCTCTCATGGTCCCTGTACTGTGCTTTCCCCTTCACCCCCCGCCCCCCAAAAAAACAGGTTAAGTATTTGGGGTCTGTTTTCTCACGTGTTTCTCCACTGCCTGGCCTTTTGTTGGGAGAGTGCTTGCCGGGGGATGCTTTCCCTCCCTCCCTGGGGCGTCAGCTCAGCCTTGTGGCTGACCCTATTGATTGACTGGCCCTGCTGAGTGGGCTGTGACCTGAAGGTCACGGATTTCTCAACACCCAGGTTTGGTCACAGAGACCATCCTTGTGCTTGACTGTAGGGTGGAGGCATGGCTCCTGTGGGCTACACATCCTGATTGCAAGGTGAGGGACAGCCAAAACCCCCCTTTGCCATCTGGGGGGAGCCTGAGGCAGGTTCTAGTTTTCCTTTCGGTGAGAAACAAAGGTCAGCTGGGGTCAGCAGGTGCTCCTGACTGCTCACAGCTCCTGGGAGTGCAGAAGCACGAAGGAAGCCCTTTGAGCTCATGCAGCTTAGTGTGTGCATCTGTCTGCAGGAGGCAAAGCAGGACCATCCAGCTCTTCCTCTCCTCCTGCTTTCCCAAAGCCCCCGCTCCCCGGTGAAGTCCTCAAGAGCCTCCCAGACTGGGGTTTGTGTGTGGCAGGTGACTTGTAGGAAGAGACATTGAGGTTATGTATGCAAGACACTGGGAACCTCAGTTCTTCGTGGAACCCCACCCAGCCAGAGTGAAAGCCTCACAGACAGAAGAACCTGGCTGCTGCCTCCTGCCTCAAGGATGGTGTCAGCTGATGCCTAGTGAACTTATGCTCTCATGTGCCGCCCACTGGGGTAGCCCCCAGTGTTGCAATGCTCTAGGCTTGTGAGAATCAACAGGTGC